TGGGGGAGTAACCTGTGGTTTTGATATAGACCTGGGAGAATCATCCTTACACCATCTGGTTTCATTTTGAGGTTACCATTTTTTTTTTGCAGTGCACATTTTGGTAGCAGTCTGAAATCAGTCTCTTTATGGATCCATTAGTTAGGCCAGAAGTAGACCTGGCTTTCCTGAAACCACAGTTAGGCCAACACCAGTTATGCTCTTGGCAAGTTAATTTGGTAATGGGACCATCAAATAGTTGTTATGCTCCTTATCTAATAGTGGTTTCCGGTGTGGGACCTGGAAGCAGGGAAGGTCATAATTGCTGGACTGTTAATCCAGAGACCCAGATAACATTCTGGACACCCAGGTTCAAATCCTGCCAAGGAAGATAGTGGAATTTGAGTTCAATAAAACATCTGGAATTAAGAATCTAATGATGACCATGAATCCATTGCAGATTGTTGGGAAAAAACCTATCTGGTTCACTAATGCCCTTCAGGGAAGGAAACTGCCATCCTTACCTGGTCTGCTCTACATGTGACTCCAGACCCACAGTAATGTGGTTGACTCTGAACTACCCTCTGGGCAATTATGGATGGGCAATAAATGCTGCCCAGCCAGCGATGCCCTCATTCCGTTAATGAATAAAGGGGGAGAAAAGCTCTTTTCATGCCATTGGAACATGATTGACAGTGTACTTCTCGCTCAGAATGCAAGTGTCTACCCCAGGCTGTTTTATGAGATGCTTCAGTATCTAAAATAGATACAGTTTTGATAAATGTCTGGGCCCATACATTTCACTGAAGTTCTCTCTGTGATGTCACTCATCCCTTTCATTTTAACACTATGTTTCTGGAAGATTGTACACATGTATTATTTCTGTTGCCTAGGAAAGATTTTCAGGAAAATGCCCTTAAATTAGAAATAAAACATATTCAGTGGTTAATAAACACATTCTATGTTAAAGTTTTGAGGCAGGCCTCAGAATTCCTAACGAATGACTCATGATATTAAGAGTTAAAAGACAAAACTTCCATCCCAGGTGATTTTACGGAATGGCTCAGAGAAGAACATTTATTAACTAATGTGCAGTAACTTTAATTACTGCTGTGAAAGAACAGTGAGAACATTAGTGGCTACCGGCTCCATTCAATCCTACTTACAGGAAATGAGCTTTGATGCAAAGCTGACTCTAGGACCTCAAGGGACAGCTGCATTGAAGACTGAAGTTGATGTTGGAGATGAGATTGAAGGGAAAGAAAGAGATAATTACATAATGAAATGGAAGAGAGAGTCTGAGTAACAAATAAAATTAAGATTTTATGTTCTTTGGAGCTGCTTGTTGTGAAGGAAGGAAAGTTGGATGAAATGAAACCACATCAAATGCCACAGTGTCAACAGTGAATTGCAGTAATGTTCTGAAACAAGCTGCATCCCTATGTTGGAAAACAAATATGGTGCTTGCCAAATATTGATCAATGAACATAGAGTCTTGCCTTTTGAAGAGCTTAGCGAGACAGCGAGAGAGAGAGAGAGAGGGAGGGGGGTCTGTGTGTGTGTGTTTGTGTGTGTGTGTGTATGTGTGTGTCAGGGGTATACAAAAATTTGCACCTAAAACACACCGTCATTGAACTGTCCAACTGTCAAAGAATACAAATGTTTGAAATGTCTTCAAAAATCTCACATCAAAACAGTGTTTTGGATTTTTTTCTTGTGTCACAGAAAATTTTTAAAAATATTGATAGCTTCATTAGGTATTTAACTTTATTTTATGTCAGCACAGCTCCTGAGGTGGATAGTAGGTTGAGAAAATATGGTGGGGAGAGGGCAAAGGAGGCTGCGTGGCAGGCTTAGCTTGGCAAATATAGAAACATTTATTAAAGGGTCAGGGTAATGGGTACAGGTCAGCATAGTTGGTATGGGGCAGGCATGGGAATGGGCAGAAAGGCATAGGAGAGTAGGATACATTTCTTATATTATAACAATGGATACAATTCAATGGTACTTCACTGGCTGTAAAGCACGAGGTACGAAAGATGACATAGAGATGCAAGTTTATCTTTATAGGTGTCCCTGGATTAGAGAATTAAAAATAAATTGAGTTTCTTTGCCCACTGCAGTTCAAACCATATTGGAAAATCATATGTTCGTGTCCATGTTATGTTAATATTGGCTCAGTGTAAAAATCACATACAACCAATTGCACTCAGTCACTATCAAGATTCACAAATGTCTAGTAACCTCACTGAACAAGATACCAAAGGACAATCCAACGCCTGCAAAGCTACTTCAGTAAGCAATGAATGCCTTTAAGAGAGAAAAAGCGATGAATTTGGCAGAAGGAAAAAGGTGTAGTTTTAAATTTTTATTAAAATTTTTAATGTTGCCAAATACAATGCATAAGAACACAAAAAAATGGAACAGACTGTATGGTCCATCAAGCTTGTTTCAACAAGCAATACCATCATGGCTATTCTTGGGCTTCAATTCCACTTTCTCTTCATATTCCTTGATTCTCTGAGACCATAAAACCATAAGATGTAGAAGCAGAAGTAGGCCATTCGGCCCATTGAGTCTATTCCACTATTTGATGAGATCATGGCCATTGTTCCTTCTAAATTATACAATCTCTGCATGACATAGAACATAGATAACAAGAACAGGACAGTGCAGGAACAGGCCCTTCGGCTCATCCTGTCTGTGATGACCATGATGCCATTCTAAACTAATCTGCCTGCAAATGGTCCATATCCCTCTATTATCTATCTTTTCATGTGCCTGTTTAAACGTCTCTTAACCTTTGCTACCACATCTGCTTCAATTACTTCCACTGGCAGCACAGTCGAAGGCACCCTCTGTGTACATCTCTTTTAAGCTTGTCCCCTCTCATCTTAATTTGACATTTCCACCCTGAGAAAAAGGCCCCAACCATTCACCCTATCTATGCCTCTCATAATATTATGTACTTCTATTAGGTCACCCCACAGCTTCTGACGCTCGAGCGAAAACTGTATAAGTTTGTCCAATCTCTCCTTAACATTAACATATGTCCAATCCAGGCAGCAGCCTGGTAAACCTCTTTGCACCCTCTCCAAAGCCTCAAAATCCTTCGTATAGTGTGGGGACAGAACTGCACACAATACTCCAAATGTGACCTAAATAAAGTCTCACACAGTTGCAATATGACATGCCAATTTTGATTCTCAGTGCCTCGACCGATAAAGACAAACATGCCGTACGCCTTACTTATTACTTTATCCACTTGTGCTGTCACATTCAGGGAGCTATGGACTTGCACCCCAAGATCCTCCCGTATATCAATGCTTCTTAAGGTCCTGCCATTTACTGTATGTTTTCCTCTTGCAGTTGACCTTCTGAAATTTATCACCTCACATTTATCCGGATTAAACTCCACCTGCCATTTCTCCACCCAACTTTCCAACTGATCTATATTGTGCTGTATCCTTTGACAACCTTCCTCAATCCACAACTCCACCAATTTTTGTGGTGTCTGCAAACTTACTAATCAGACCACTGATATTTCCAATGACGATTGGTGTGCTGACTCAGTTTACAGAATTGATTCCCAATTCCAGAAGTCGCTGCTGTGCTTGGACTTCAGAGGTACACACAAGACAGAAAATAAAATTGTGCGAACACTGATCATAGTTGATTTGATAACCATCAGTTCCACTTTCCTGCCATTTTTTCATAATCCTCAATCCCCTTATTGATTAACAATCTGTTTATCGCTGCCTTGAATATACCTAATAACCCAGATTTGACAGCCCTCTGTGGCAAGGAACTCCACAAATTCAATATGCCTAGAGAAGAAATTACTCATCATCTGTGTCTTCAATGGGTGACCTGTTACTCTGAGATTACGCTCTCTAGTCCTAGACTCTCCAACAAGGGGAAACGTACGCTCTGCATCTACCCTTTGAAATTGCCTTATGCTTTAATAAAGTCACCTTTCATTCTTCTAAACTCCAATGAGTACAGACCAAACTACTCAACCTCTTCTCAGAAGAAAATCCCTCCATACCAGGAATCAACTGAGTGAACCTTTTCTGGACTGCCTCCAGTGCTAGTATATGTATCCTTAGGTAAAGGTACCAAAATTGTTCACAGTATTCTGGGTGTGGTCTAACTAATGCAATGTTTTGTTTTAGCAGCACTTTACTATATCTATACATGATTCCCTTTCAAATAAAGGCTGACAGTGCATTTGCCTTCCGTCTTATGCGCTGAACTTGATTAATGTCTAAAGCCTTCCAAATTCCTCTGTACTGCCACCTTTCTGCAGCCTTTCTCCATTGAAAGGATATTCAACTCTTTTATTCTTCCTGCCAAAGTGCCACATTATATTCCATCTGCCAGTTTCTACATGCTCATTTATGCTGCCTATATCCCTCTGCAGACTCCTTGTTTCCCACGCCATTTTTGTGTCATTTACGCACCCTCACTTCTTTCTGGGGGAAAGAACTCTTACTCATAACCCTTCGCATGAAGAAATTTCTCTTAAGTCCTGAGAGATTGAGGCCTTATTCAGAGATCGTGGCCCCATGGTCTAGGTTCTCTGGCCAAAGGAAACTATCTTTCAGCCACTACTTATCAAGCTCCATAATCTTGTATGTCTGGTGAAAGCGCTTTACTAATCATGTATGTGAAAAAGAAACAGCAAGTCCATTTACTGTACTTCTTAAAAGTAAGGAGGTACAGCAAAATGTTCCTTAGTCATCCCAGGGAGATTTGTTCTTCAAAATTTCTTGGCTTTCCTGTTAGCTATCTAAATGTAATTGTTAAAATAAAAGTTTGATAGCATGTTATTAAGGCATTAAACAAATTACTTAGGAACTTGAGTAGTTGTTCCATACCAAAGAATTAAAAACTGAGCGACTGAAAGACGAGACTATGGGTAGACAGACATATTGATGTATTGAACAAAGACAAATAAGTGGCTGTTTGGGCTGACAACTTTATTTACTAGTATTGAGTGAGAGAGCATTTACACTCACCAGGGGGTTTAACCTTCACCTCCAGAATATTGGAAGATTTGCTGATTTTCTTCACCCATTGGTCCACCTGGTTTTGGTGCCACAGTTCAGCAATGCACTGGTATTTCCCAGCCTCCAAGTCACTGGCTTTATTGACCACCAGACGGATAGTATTAGACACTGCCTTTGTTATCATTATTTTATTTGTAAAATTTGTCGCCTTATCCCCCCACGAAATGGATGTGTCACGGGCGAAGGTGATAATGTCATAGCTATTGCTTGATCCAGCAGGCTGGAATTTCCACGTGACAGAAACTGATACTCGAGAAGGATAGGTTGGTCTGATGAAACATTGAAGTTGAAATGCATTATCATAGATCACCGATGGTGTTCGTGTTATTGCTGTAACACTGAAACCTGTTTCTGTGAAGTAAAAAAAAAGGTATTACTATCAACTTCCAAACATTTCATGTAATAGAAAGATCTTTTCCCTTGCCACCTTCTCCTTCCTAAAGGCACCCACTTTTACTGAGTATAAGTCATAGAGCTGTACAGCATGGAAACAGACCCTTCGGTCCAACATGCTGACCAGATATCCTAAATTAATCTAGTCCCAATTGCCAGCATTTGGCCCATATTCCTCTAAACGCTTCTTATTCATATATCCATCCAGATGCCTTTTAAATGTTGTAACTGTACCAGCCTATTCAGCCTCTCCCTACAGTTCAAACCCTCCAGCCCTAGCAATATCATTGTAAATCTTTTCTGAACACTTAAAGTTTCACAACATCTTTCTTATAACAGGGAGACCGGAATTGAATGCAGAATTCCAAAAGCGGCCTAACCAGAGTCCTGTACAGCTGCACCATGACCTCCCAACTCCTATACTTAATGCACTGACCAATTTCAGTAAGCGTACCAAATGCCTTTTCTACCACACAGTTTACTTGCAACTCTACTTTCAACTATGAACATGTACCCCAAGGTCTCCCCAGGACGTTACCATTAAGTGTATAAGTCTTGCCCTGATTTGCCCTACCAAAATGCAGCACCTCACATTTATCTAAATTAAACTCCATCTGCCACTCCTCAGCCCCTTTGCCTATCTGATCAGAGGCTGAGGTAAGCTTCTTTGCCATCCACTACACCACCAATTTTGGTGTAATCTACAAACTTACTATACCTCCCATATTCACATCCAAATCATTTATATAAATGTCAAAATGCAGTGGACTCAGCACCGATCCTTGCTGCACATCACCGGTCACTGGCCTCCAGTCCGAAAAGCAACCCTCCACCACCACTCTCTGTCTCCTATCTTTGAGCCAATTTTGTACCCAAATGGCTAGCTCTCCCTTTATTCCATGTGACCTAACCTTGCTAACCAATCCCCAACTGTTATGGGTTGAATCTTACAATTTTGGCGAAGTGTAAAACGCATTGAGTTTTTTCTGAATGAGTCACTCATGAGGCCTAGTGAAATTTCTCATCCTATCTTACCAAACTCACCTCATTAACTACCTACCTACCACTATGGTATCTCTCATGTCTGATTCGATCCCCATCTTAATATGCATCATTCGCCAAACAACTCAACGTTCACCAGATATCCCTTGAAAGATCAACATCTCTGGCACTCGCACCATCTTTACAAGACCACTGTGTGCCTAAGCTAGCATCGACATTTCTTCAGGGCAATCAAATGGCAGAGCAGCCGCAAAGTCATGCTGCTCCTGGCACATAGCTGGCGTGGCTGAGATTCCCTCACAGAAATAATCCCATTCTCTCACCCTGGTTGCTGTTTAACCACCGGGCCACAAACTTTATCAGTCTGATCTCTCTAAGTCAGTGCAAACCTGTCCCCAGTGTCCACTGTACACCCGTATATTATCAATGTCCAACATTGGATATCAGATACCGATAAGCAAATCTAGCAATTCCAAACACAAGGTTTATTTATAACCAGCAAAAGTGAACACAAACAAAACCAGTAAAGGCTGAAGTTCGCCCTTACATTGCTAGTCAAGTGTTGGTATTATGACCACTGACTATTTTACATTCCATGTTTATCTGCTGCACCCAGCTCAGATCAACTGGAACCAGGTGTCAGTTAGGTCCTGTCTGGCTTGTGATGCCCAATGCAGCTAAGGCTATGTTCATTATCAATGTTTCCATCTGGTTCCTTGCAAGACTGCTCCTATTTGCCCAGCTCATCAGCATATATCACTGCCTCGTCGCATGTTCGAAGTGTGCAGAGCAACCCCCCCTTATTGGTCTAAGCAACAGAACCACATCTTCAGTACCCTTATCACCTGCTCCACCATGACCCTGGTCGCAGCATATGCAACCATGAAAGTTATCACTGAATTCAGTGCAGTCCTTCATAATACTTACATGACATATAATGCAGCAATGTCCCCCACATCCCACAGCACCCTTGGAAGTTTCACAAGTGATAGGATGCTTTGGCCAGCATTGGTCTCCTTTTAAGTCATTGCCATTAACTTCTGCATCTTCGCTGGGATGGCAATATTAACTACGCAAGCACCAATGGCATAATGCAATCTTCCTTTGACCAGCAATTGATATCTAAGCATGTTTACTCTGCATGCATTGCAAATGGTTGAAGAAATGATTGCAAATGAAATGTATCTGGAGTTTACAAATGCATGGTTCATCACTTTGCCCCTATAATATTCTGGCTCAACAACTGTGGAATCCAATGTTTTGCCCATTAAATGACACTGACTTTGCCCATCCCTGGCATTGTCCTAGCCATTTTCTAGGTGCAGTTAGCATCTGAAAAACAGCAAATAATGGCAGGGAACACAACTTGCAGTGGACTCTGTCAGCACCAGGATTTGTCCAGTTGCCAGTTAACTCCCTGGAGCCTCAGCATCACCTAGTTTCTCGCTCTGCCCCAATAGCCCATAAGGGCTAAATGTGACTGATTATCATGGATCATAATCCTGAGATGCTGCACGGTCCTGAGGAACAAGAAGTCTCCAGACAGCCAGTGGTAAGGTGAAGTCGCTAGGCACCCACTATAACTTCCATGTGGAGAATGCTTGACAGCTGTTTTGTTCAGCATGTTTGGTAAGATAAAGAGCTGAATATTAATGAGGTGATTTGTGCCATTAAAAGGCATTTAACAAACTACAATCCCACTTAAGTGGCAACTTACTGTTGTCTAGTGAGAAACTTGCCTGGCTGCTTGACACTGCATAAAAGATGCAATGAATTGTTCCTGATATCGAGATATTCCTTACTGGACTTCCCATCTGATTCTGCCATAAATCTCATTTCAGCCCATGACATTCAGGCTCCTGCGAGATTCCACCCTAATTGACCAAAGGGATACTTTGACACAACCAAGTTAGCTTTCAGATTGTCAAGCCTTAAAACAATTTTTTGGACTTGGTTACAATCTTCCATCACCAGGCATATCATCTTAAAGACTCCTGAAAAAGATCCTAGCTACCCTCTGTCCCACCAACAAGCAGCCCTCCATCTCCTGCCCACCAACTCTGTGGAGGATAGTCATTAGCCAGTCATAAAATAGCTAACCATCATGGGAGAGGTAATCTGTGTACCAGGAATGCGTTGCAAAAGACACCATGTGTACCTCAGCTCACCATAAATTGCATTGAATGCACTGGCACTGTCCTCCTTACTACTAAATATCTCCACAACTGAAGTTTTAACTAGTTGGAGGTGCAGGATTTCAGAAGATGCTTCTTTATATCAATTGTGATGGATCCAATCCAACATCCTCATGATGAAAATATTATGCTGTACTCAGCCTATCAATATCCTCTGCACACCCAAAATTGAGATTTTTACATTACTACTGTAATGCATTATTCCATCAATACTTCCATTCCAACAACATAACCACTGTTACTCTAATCTATATAACACTGCTCCTTTTAGATATTCAGTAATTAGAGTAGTGCAAGAAAATTTTCAGCCCTTGAGTTTTCTTTCGATGCGAGTACTTACCAAGAGGTGTTATCACCGCTACAATATGAGCAGATTGCTTTCCTATCTGCTGCCAATCTCCACTCACGTTCATGATCCATTCAGTGACTGTACAGACATACTCTCCATCATCCAATATCACTGAATTATGTAGCCGCAAGATGAAAGAATCTGGTCGCTGTTTGGTCAGCCTGAGTTCTCCATTAGCATCACGCTTACGGTAGAGTGTACCGATAACCTGAGTACCATCCTGGTCCAAGCTGATGATATCGGTAACCTGTTTCTGCTTGTTGATTAACTGCCAGGCAACAGAAAGGCGGCTGTGGTTCCTGATTGCTGATTGAACATCACAAGTGAACTCGAGTGAGTTACCCTCCAAAACCTTAGTGGTATTACTGGTAACTGTTGTACTCAGGCTACTTTCTGCAGGAAATAAAATATTATTAGTTCAATTAGTAGTTTTGTAGAAAGACAACTGTATAAGATTTGAGGATCCATCTTGTTTCAGATCACAGGAATCAATATGACTATGTTTTATGAGAATTTGTCATAATACCATTCAATAATTGTTTTAAAAATAACTTATGTTTTACAGGCAACATTTCTTTTTTACAGTGAGAACAAGTAATCGATAGATGCTTTGATTAATGTTATGTTAATGCTGGCAATAATCCAGTTACACTATTGCTATAATTTCAGGGTAAACTGTTGAGGATTAACACACAAGTGTGGCAGAGAAAGGGGAAGAAAGGTTGTTCTATTGGTGGTTTTTGTCTTTGTCCATAAACTTTCTAGGATTCGAACTAGATCAATTGGTCAGTTACCAATGTTAATATACATAATATTGTCAATGTCAGAAGAAACACTATCATTTTCTGTCATACTGAACCTTCAAAAACATGGTCTATAGTTTCAAAACCTACCTGCTCCCAATTCCATTCCAGTTATCTGCTCCATCCTTCTCTCTGACAACAATCTGAGATTAAGCTCATCTTTCTGCAACTTTGGTGCCATATTTGGTCCTGAGATGAACTTCCAATCTTATATCTGTTCCATAACTAATATTGCATTTTCCACTGGTAATGCCAGCTGACTTTGCTCCTGTGTCAGCTTCACTGCTGCTGAAGTCCTCATTCTTGTCACTGTTACTTGTGAAGTCAGCTACCTTAATGTGTCTTTGGTGGTTGTGACCGGTATCTCACTTAGCAAGTCCTGTTCTCCTGTCTCTCCTATGTTCATGCACTTATATTGGTCCCTGGTCTTGCAAGGTCTTGACTTCAAAATACCCATCCTTTTTCTTTAAATCCCTCTGCAGTCTTGCCCCTCTCCACTCTGTAATCTACTTCAGCCCTTCTGAAATAGCTGCGCTGATTTAATTCTGACTTGTTGGGTATTCCTAATTAAAGTTGCTCTACCACTGGAGGCCATGTCTTCAGCTGCCTGTGACCCATGCTCTGGAATTCCTTCCTTGCAGCTGTCCTTCTTGCTGCCTCACTTGCCTCTATTAACATATTCATTAAAATCTTCCTCTTTGATCAAACTCTTGACCTCTTTTATGTGAATCAGTGTCATGCTGTATTTAAAAAAACAAAAAAAACTACGGATGCTATAAATCAGGAACAAAAACAGAAGTTGCTGGAAAAGCTTAGCAGGTCTGGCAGCATCTGTGAAGAAAAATCAGTGTTAACGTTTCGGGTCCGGTGACCTTTCCTCAGAATAGTGTCATGCTGTGTTTTACAATGCTCCTGTGAAGCATCCATGGACATTTCATTGCACTAAAAGTGCTACATGAGTTGTTTCTCCTCATGTTGCTCACATTGTGTCAGAATAAGTAATTCCTGATTAAACAATAGCTACTGTTAAATCAACACAATATCCATCTATTTTTATTCGTTTTGCTCTAATTAGCCTGAAGTTTCCTAAATCTAGACGTAAGTGACATATATTCTTTAGATCTTCTGTTCGATTTGCTGCAGCCACTACCTTTAAGAAGCAGTTAGTGTGTACTACTCTTAGCATTTAAGTGAATAAAAACTGCTTTGAGAGAGGTAATAATATTTTTCAAAGAATGTAGTTCAGTTGTGTTTTAGTATAACCTTATTACAGCAAACGCTGTTTTAAATTTTTAGCCTGAGTACACAGCATAGTCATGTCGTTCATTTCGTGTTTGGAGAGATGACATAACATAAGGCCAATTTATTTCAAATATGCATACCAGTAATAGAAAAGTTAATTTGCTTGCATCATAGCAACACCACCCAGGTTATTTTCTAGATAAAATCAAGCTTTTCAATTCATGGGAAATGCGGTGTTACCTTAGGAAGATGACTTCTGTATTGGCCGTGAACAACAACTGTTGCAAATAATACATTTACAATATGGTCGAGTGAACTATTTTGATTGGGCTTGCTGCTTCAGAGGGACATTTCAATTTCAATTCATACTTCCAAACACAGAGAGATTAGAAGCCTGGAAGCTATTATGGGCAATGTTACTGTAGCATGTGCATGCCAAATTTTATTTTAGTGGAAGGATTAACTCATGAGAAAGTTAGAAATTGTGGGCAGCATAAAATCATGGCATAACAATTAAAAGTAATATTAATCACAAATGTAGTTGCTATTGAGTTCTAAATTTATGAAGTTTACTATTTTAAATATAACATTTGGACTTGATCAGATTTTGATCTTCATTTGAACTACAATAGCAGTACAAGTGGTAAATATGGAAAATGCATCTCAAACAATCAGTGACTGAAGAGGGACAGGTAGAAATTCAGATAGAGAAATGGGCAGGAACTGTCTTTGATCACCCATCACTATGAGCAAGTGTTTCAGTACATCATTTTAACATTATTGTCTTCATTGTCTATCAATTCTTTTTGAAACCCCGAAGACCTGAATTCAGAGAGCTTCCAATAAATGAATGTCAGTGTGAAGTGCATTCATGATCATTTTTATTTCTTCATGGCAGACTCACATACTTTCATGTGGAAAAAAATTTTAAATCTGACATTAATACCATAATGTATTGCTGTTTTGTGGAAGTATAGCTTCTATCATTTTTAGGGGAAGATGAAAGGCAAAAACATCAAAGGAAATGGTCTCAATGCTAACACTGGCATGTGATTTTCAGTCAGTCATTCTGGTCAGCTTTTGTTTGCATCTGTATGAACAGACATCAGAGACTGCAGGCAGAGATCTGACAGACTAAGTCATCGCTACAGTCGCTTCTTGATGAACAAAAGCTAATGTCACTCAAAATCAAGAAGTTCCTTTAAACCCATGTTTTTTTGGTAATATTTCTGCATAATAGCAAAATTAGTGGGTGAAGCTTTCACCCTGTGACATTGTTCATCTTGACTTCTAAAATGGCAAATCTACATTTCTTTTTCAAATATGTTTTAGACCTGATAACTAGGCCACATTAAACCCAGATTCCTTCGTGAAGAGCTAACAGAAACAAGTAGAACCTTTCATAACCATGGGAAAGTTCTTTTTTCACTTTTGTTGTTATCACACTGATAAGAGCTGCGTCACTAAGCAACAATATTTCTGCGCAGCCTAGAGCAACCTTGACAGTTGGAGAACTGCGACTTAACTGATTAGATTCATTGAATTTAAAATATGAGACAAGATCAGTTGCAGAGAAAAACTACTTGTGACTAAAAAAATAAATCACAGTAACTAGAGGCACTGCTTCATCAAATCAATTTCTTTGTCTGCCTGAAAGAGCTTACAGAGGATTCTGGAATCCTTCTCAGTTATTCCAAGTTACCAACAGATTTCATGTCATTAATTCTTATAAAAATGAAAACTTTATTTAGATAGTTACTTACTGATAGACTGGACATGGATCAAAACTTTAGGAGATTTGTTGGTATCTCTGGCAATGAATTCTCTCGTCACTGTTTTCTCATGCTCTGTGGCCCGACAATGGTATTTGCCACTGTCCTCCAGTTGAACATGGTAGATTTTCAGCAGGTATGTTGTATCTGTCTCCTTTGTGAACCTTACATATCCCAGGCGATCTCTGTTTGCATATTCACCATTGACTGTTGCTACAGCATTACGGCCAATGTTGGCAATTTGTGTGCCATTAAAGATCCACAACACTGAAAAATACCGATCCTGTATGTTTTGAGCTTCAATGATACATCTTATTTCCATGGTATCTCCAGCTATGAGAATTTTCCTTTCATTCTCTAACTGAACATTGAAGTTCTTATCTAGAACAGAATATAGACATGCAGAAAAAAATTAGAGCGAGGGAATTTAGTAGTGAAGAATTATAAACAGAAGTTTGTTTTACAAGTCCTAAGATCATATCTGCATGGTGCAGTTTGTCCTCCCAACCTTTAAACCTTCCCTGCCTCGCTCCTAAAGAATTTAACTCTATCTGGGATATTTTATCTGCTAAAAACAAATAACTGTGGATGCTGGAGATCTGAACCAAAAACAGAAATTGCTGGTGAAACTCAACAGGTCTGGCAGCATCTGTAGGGAGAAAGTAGAGTTAACATTTTGAGCACAGTGTTCTGATGAAGAGTCACCAGAATCGAAGTGTTAACTGTGCTTTCTTCCACAGAAGCTGCCTGACCTGCTGAGTTTTGCCTGCAAGTTATGTTTTTATTTCAGATTTTATCTGCCGTTTGGCATAGTATTTTCATGGAGTCATAGTGGTACAGAAAGAAGCCAACCCATGACAATTCTCTGGAAAAATAATCCACTCACTTCATTCCCCATGGTCCTGCAAGTGTATTTCCACTCAAATGCCTACCCAAATACCTTTTAAAATCACTTCCCTCACCCTCATGGCTAATGGGTTCTACGAATCAGCACTCACTAAATAAAAAGATTCTTAGAACATAATAAATTAAGAAAAGTAGTCCATCTAGCCCCTTGAACCTTTAATAAGATCATGATTGATGCGTTTGTGATCTTTACTTATTCTTTTTTATTATTCATTCATGGGATGTGGGCGTCACTGGCTAGACCAGCATTTATTGCCCATCCCTAATTGCCCAGAGGGGCAGTTGAGATCAACCACATTGCTGTGGGTCTGGAGTCACATGTAGGCCAGACCAGTTAAGGATGGCAGTTTCCTTCCCTAAAGGACATGAGTAAACCAGATAGGTTTCTCCAACAATCAACAACGGATTTGTGGTCATCATTAGACTCTTAGTTCCAGACTTCTGTTTTTAAATGTATTACCGTGGCAGAATACAAACTGCAGTCCCCAGAATATTATCTGGGTCTCTGGATTAACGGTCCAGCAATAATACCACGAGGCATTGCCTCCCCATCTACTTCCCTATCTACTTACCATTTGACCCTCTTGTTAAACAAAAACCTATCTAATTCAGTTTTAAAAATGTCCAATGACCTTGTCTGCACCACAGAGAAGAGAATTTCATAAAGGAAAAAATTCTTCTCATTTACTTCGAAAATGTGAAACCTCTTATGTTAGAGCTGGACTAGATAACAGAGCTGGTGCAGGGAGGATGGACTGTATGAGCTCCTTCACATTAAATTAATTCTGTGATTCTTTGTTGTTTAAATTGTGTTCCCTAGTTCTAGTCTCTCCCAGAAACACTATTTGTTTTTCTAAACTCCAATCGATACAGACCCAACCTACTCAACTTATTCTCTAAGATAAACACTTAATGCCAGGAATCAGTTGAGTGGACCTTCTTTGAACTACTTCTATTGCAATTATGTCCTTTATTAAATGAGGAGACAAAAATTGATGTAGTCTCACCAATGCCTACAACTGTAACAAAACACTTCTGCCTTTACAATCAATTCCCTTCCTCATTCTCTTTGTGACCTTTAACAGTGTAATGAACCATCGTCATTAAACACTTTTTCTCCCTCAGAAGTGGGACTGTTCTCACTTAGCTCTGCTCTAGATTTTTTTTTAAAAGCGTAACCAGAGCATCTCTGGTTTTGGAACTGAAGAGTCATTTTGGACTGAAAATATTAGCGCTCCCCCCTGCACCCTCCCCACACATGTGGTGTCAGACCCGCTGCGTTTCTCCACTGTCTTAATTTTATTAAAGGGTTGAAAGCTCGGCAGCTCTTGGGGCTACAGTCGAGCCAGGCAAGGACCCTGCAGCCTCCAGACGGCAGCAAAAATACCTTTTAGAAAAATAAGCCTCAGTGCTGGACGAGAAAACCCTCTAAGGGGAAATTGCTGGGAGACCGTAGAGTGTGTCCTCCCTGCCTGTGGTCCCCACTTTGCTTTAAAAAAGCAAACAGTGCCCCCTCTAACTGGGCATCCACTGGGAGGTCACCTTGATTTAAGTGACAAATGGTTGGCAGTCAATCCACCACTGACAAAATGCCAATTGCCCCGTTAGGTCATAGATTGATACAGCACGGAAACAGTCGCTTTGTCCCATCTTGTCCATACTGACCAGATTTCCTAAACTGAACTAGTTCCATTTGCCTGCATTTGGCCCACATCCCTCTAAACCTTTCCTATCCATGTATCTGTCCAAATGCCTTTTAAATGTTGCAACTGTACCTGTATCTATCACTTCCTCTGGCAGGTCATTTCATATATGCACCACCCTCAGGTCCCTTTTAACTCTTTCCCCTCTCACCATAAACCTATGCCCTCTAGTTCTGGACTCCCCTACCCTGAGGGAAAAAAAAAACCTTAGCAAGTCACCTTATCTACAGACATCAAGATTTTATAAATCTCTATAAGGTCACGCGTTAGCCTCTGACACTGCATGGAACAAAGTCCAAACCTATACAGCCTCTCCTTAGAACTCAAACCCTCCATAATTGGTAACATCCTTGTGAATGTTTTTGCCCCTTTCCTGTGTAATAATATCCTTCCTGTAGCAGGGCGACGAGAATTGTATGCAGTGCTCCAAATATGGCCTTATCAATATCTTGTACAGCTGTAACATGACAGCCCAAATTCTATACTCAATGATCTGACCAAAGAAGGCAGGAGTGCCAAACGCCTTCCTCACCACCCTATCTACTTGTAACTCTACTTTTAAGGAACTATGTACCTGCACCCCTAGGTCTCCCTGTTTGACAACACTCCCCATGGCCCTACCATTAACTGTGCATGTCTTGCCCTGGTTTGGTTGACCAAAATGCAATCACCTCGCATTTATCTGAATGAAACTTCATCTGATATTCCTCGGCCCACTGGCCCAGTTGATGAAGATCCTGTCAAACTCTGAGATAACCTTCCTCATTGCCCACTGTACCATCAAACTTACTAACCAGGCCTCCTATATTCTCATCCAAATCGTTCATATAAATTATGAACAATGGTGGACCCAGCACTGATCCTTGCAGCACACCACTGGTCACAGGCCTCCAGTCCAAAAGACAATCCTCTACCATCACCCACAGTCCCCTACCATCAAGCCAATTTTGTATCCAATTGGCTAGCTCTACCTGGATCCCACGTGATCTAACCTAACTAACCAGTCTACCATGTGGAACCTTGTCGAAGGCCTTGTTAAAATCCATTTAGACAACATTCACCCCTCTGTCTTCATCTATCTTGTTGGTCACCTCTTCAAAAACTCAATCAAATTTGTGAGACACAATTTCCCACTCACAAAGCCATGTTGACTATCCCTAGTCAGTCTTTGCCTTTCTAAATGCATGCAGATCCTGTCTGTATCCCCTAGCAGAATGCATCTGGTCCTGCTGTTAGTAAAACATCCCAGTGGCAGGCCAACTTCATGAAGCTAAGCTGACATGGCTTCCTGTATTTAACGCACTTAGCTTAGCCCACAGTTTTCAAGAAATTTATCAACCTCACATGTTAACGCAGTTGTGTGCAGCTAAAAGTAACTGACAAATAGGTCAAGGGCACTACTATCTAACCAATTGTTTAAATAAGGTAGTTGTATATGGCTCTCCTCCAATATTTCTAAACAACTTCATATTGACCGTCTGATTGGCATTATTCAGGACATAACCATTTCTTGTTGTTCTGGAAGCCTGACCTAACCATTTTAGTGTTACCTTTCTCACACCATATGTTATATGCTAACAATGCATTATTCTCTGCTTAGTCCGATAATAGCTATGCTGATCACTGCTTTTCAATGACAACCACTTACCAGTTGCTTTTATATTCACAATTGTTTTGTCAGTGCGCTTGGTAGCTATGGTGAACCAAGACCGATCTGGGTCTTGGATCCATTCTCTAGCCTCACAGTAGAACTCTCCTTGATCAAATGCTTGCAGTTTGTAGATGGTGAGTTTGAATGAAGTTGCTCCAATCTTATCCAATCGTACATCTCCTGATGCCTGCCTTTGTTTGTACGAATCTCCAGTTCGTAGGATGAAATCTCGTGTGAGAGAGATGACCTTCAGATTCTGATTTCCCTTCTGTATGTACCATGCGACAGCCACGTGTGTGTGTTGTGATGTTTGTTTAGATACTTCACAGACCAGTTCCAGGGAGTCACCTTCAACCTTATCCAGGGTCTGGGGTACCGATGTTGCACTGAGCGTGTCTGGAATGACTAACAAAAAAATGATTAATGATTAAACAAAAATATATTTTAAAATATCAAGTTCACACAGAAATGGTTGAATGTTTGACTACTAATGATATGAGAAATTGTGTATAGTTTGTACATAGGCAATGCTAGTATACTTTGCAGGTTCGGTGGGTGGGGGCGCGGAGGGGTCAGAAAAAGGACATCTTTACAATTCTGTGTTACATTTCAAAACTCGCTTGATTATGAACCTCACAAGATACTGCCTACAGAGCACCATTGATTCCCAGTATGGAAATGGTCATTGGTAAATACTGTCCTTCAGAGTTAAAGGAATACTTCAAGTGGATACGAGAATTGAGTCAAAATTTTAAATTCTTTTTCAATTCATTTGCAGGATGAGGGCATCACTAGACCAGCATTTATTGCCCATTCCTAATTACCCAGTGTGCAGTTAAGAGTCAACCATGTTGCTGTGGGTCTGGAGTCACATGTAGGCCAGACCAGATAAGGATGGCAGTTTTGTTCCCTGAAGGACATTAGTGATCCAAATGGGTTTTCCTGGCAATTGACATGATTTCATAGTGACCATTAGACTCCTAATCTAGATATTTATTGAATTCAAATTCTAACATCTGCCATAGTGGGATTTGAACTCAAGTCCCCAGAATATTACTTGGGTTGCTGTATTAACAGTCCAGTGATAATACCACTAGACCATTGCCTCCCCAGAATAGCTAGGGAAGAGGTGGATATTAGCATTATTCTCAAGGAGACAACACCAAGCCATGAGGGTGTTTTACCTCTGGTATTTGATTGTAATGTCTTTCAACTTCTAAAAATCATATCATGGATGTAAGCTCATGAATGCTTTTTGGTCTATAACTTTATCTTTAGAATATACTTGCTAAAATTAGAGGGTGGGATTTCAGACATATGTGTTTAGCATTTGTGCACTGATATCTGAAGCTGTAATTTCAAAATGCAATTCTAAAACGAACAAGCATTAACTTCCCTATGTCCACGCTATCCAATATTCTGCTGCACCAGGAGTTTTGGATCACTGAGAACCCTCCAGCAGGATTCTCAACATTTCAAGTTGCTGGCATAACTCAAATGCTTTTCTGATGTGTGTGAGTATCAATTTCAAATACAAAATTCCAGCTATTCCAATGCCCTCCAGCTGCTGATCCTACAGGGAATTTCAGACTCACCAGAAGGCATCTGAAGTCACAGCTTTGAAACTTGATTGTCCCACCCGGGTAGTGAAAAGTACGTACCTACAGCAGTTGGGGACAGAGGGGTATGGTAACCCAATAGCCTTCTCCTCCCCACTGTCACCCCCCCCAGGACTCAATAATGCTCTTCTTGAACTCTCCACTCCTTGTACAATTTATGAACTAGATCAGCTTTGCTTCAGAGTTATAGGCTGTTTTCCCTGCATGGATGCTCCTCCCCAAAATAGAGGTACACTTGTACCATCTGGGATACATTTGCCTTATCACAGTCAATGTTCCCTCTGCCAGAGATAGTAGGAACTGCAGATGCTGGAAAATCCGAGACAACAAGGTGCAGAGCTGGATGAACACAGCAGGCCAAGCAGCATCATAGGAGCAGAGAGACTGACGTTTCGGGCCGAGACACCAATGTGGATTTCACAAGCTTCAAAATCTCCCCTCCCCCTACCGCATCCCAAAACCAGCCCAGCTCATCCCCGCCTCCCTAACCTGTTCTTCCTCCCACCTATCCCCTCCTCCCACCTCAAGCCCCACCCCCATTTCCTACTTACTAACCTCATCCCGCCCCCTTGACCTGTCTGTCCTCCCTGGACTGACCTATCTCCTCCCTACCTCCCCACCTACACTCACCTTTACTGGCTCCATCCCCGCCTCTTTGACCTGTTTGTTTCCTCTCCACCTATCCTCTCCTCTATCCCTCTTCTATCCGCCTCCCACTCTCTCCCTATTTATTTCAGAACCCCCTTCCCCTCCCCCATTTCTGATGAAGGGTCTAGGCCCGAAACGTCAGCCTTCCTGCTCCTATGATGCTGCTTGGCCTGCTGTGTTCATCCAGCCCTGCACCTTGTTCCCTCTGCCAGAATTTGCTGAGCTAGAAAAATGGAATCTCCCAGCAAAAGAGCTGACAACGTTAGTTTTGTATGGAACAGACAGGAGCCCCTTCCCTTAATAAGGCCAACTGGGAAATATCAAAATTACCAATGATGTGGCAAAACAGAAACACTGCTTTATTTTGATGAAGGGACACATCCCTGAGGAAATTTGGGGCCATCATCTCCTTTTGTACCAAGTACAGGTTGACTGATTTTTTTTAGTATCAAAAACCCCAGGACAGGTATGGTTGTTTGAGAAAACATGCCATTGTTGTCACTGGAATTATTTCATTTATTGCTGCTAATATGCTCTAAGATATGTTGCATTTAGGGCAAGTTATATTGGTTGCTTTTATTTACATATTACCAACTCACTACTTCAAATTGTTCTAACAACTAGTAACACTGGTAATCTGCAAATGTAAATTCTTTACACAACACAGCTCAAAATGGTCTCTCCATACAGAACTCAAGACACAAGGCTTGAAATGTGCCTTGCCCTGTGGATGGGTACAGGACCGATAGCTGCTGGCATCACAGGAGGTAGAGCTTGTCAGTGGCCTGGGATCAGTTTATGTAAGTAACTGAATGGGAACTAGAATGGAAATCTTAGCCAAAATAGACAATAGCCAAGAGATCTTAAAAATCTAGGGTGGGGTGGAGAGAAGGTCAGGAGTGTGGAACAGAGCCAGAAGTGTGCATATGATTAAAGGAGGAAGGTTCTGGGGATGGCAAACATGACAATTGACAGAGGAGAACAAGATTTCAAAACTTTACAAACTACAATGTGAAATGGTTTTCATTGAAATAAGACAGAAAAAGGGATGGAGTTTTGTCATTTCACATGGAAGGAAGTGGAGAAGCAAATACCAGCATTTTTATTTGTTTTCTTGATTCATTTACTGGATGAAGACATCACTGGCTAGGCAGCATTTATTGCCCATCCCTAATTGTCCAGAGGGCAGTTAAGGGTCAACCACATTGCTGTAGGTCTGGAGTCACATGTAGGCCAGACCAGGTAAGGATGGCAGTTTCCTTCCCTAAAGGGCATTAGTGAACCAGATAGGTTTTTCCTGACAATCAACAATGAATTCATGGTCATCATTAGATCCTTAATTCCAGATATTTATTGAATTCAAATTCCACCAGCTGCCATGGCGGGATTCAAACCCTAGTCCCCAGAAGATTACCTGGGTCGCTGGATTAATAGTCCAGCGATAATACCACCAGGCCATTGCCTAACTGTGGGAATAATAGCTGTGGGAAATACAGGGTTACAGTGATAGGGTAGGCAGGTGGATCTGGGTGGGAAGCTCTTCGGAGGATCGGTGTGGCCTCAATTGGCCAAACGGCCTGCTTCCACACTGGAGGGCTTCTATGATTCTATAATTAAAGACCAAGACCCCACTCCCAAAAATGTAAGGAGAAACTTAATAACCTCACCAGTGCAGCAAGAGAATGCAACAAGCCAATTAAGTACCCTGCCAACTTTCTGATGCCTTTAGAGAAAATTCAACATTGCCTGCTCAATGTTGAGGTTAACATCACTGGAAAGTCACATTGTTCCATGTACAAGGAAGCTTCTTTGCCTCAGACCCTTCTGTTTAACATTCTCTCACATCTTGCAATGCATGCTGGCCCTTTGAAACCTGTCTCCAATGTTTCATTCTTCTATTTCACTACACACTGACAGTCAAATGAGATAAGCATCAGAGTGCTGTTGCTATTTAATATTTATGAATTCTTCTTTGAGTAGAAGTTGGCATACGATGGCATAGAGCAACAGGCCACAGACAGAGGTCTCCAATGCACCAAGCAAATGACCCAGTTAGAAGACAAGGCCATACCTACCTAAGGAATAACATTTCTCAGGCTAGAAAACCTGGAAGCTGTGAGTTCAAAATCAGTTTGTGATGCAGAATTATTGTACTGGAGGCTTTAGTTATAGAAATAGAGACAAAGCATACAAAACTTGTGACTAAAAGACAATGAGGATAGCAAGGAGTGACAGCAGAAATCTAGTAGTGCAAGCTTTTCTTCTATTCCTTCAGATTTATGAAGCTATGAGACAAGAAATGGTAAAAATTAAGCTGGCAGTGGCCTTGCACTCTCCCATTGCCCATCACTTTCATTATGACCAGCCAGAGTAAAGTGTTTGGTAATCAGGAACAAGGTTCAGATGGTGAACTGTTATTGGGTTAATTACTGAGCTCAAAGACTCTAAGGGTTTAATGTTTGGTAACAGAGTGGAGTGGAGTAAACTGAATGAAGGCCAAGGTAATATCACTGCTAAACAAGCAGCTGGTGTCCTCTACAGGTTTTGCCACAAGAAGTGAACATCTTGCATGTTTGGACTGTTCACTGATTTATCAAATAAATCCCAATGGGTGCCCTACAGCCCTATCTGAACGGGCTTGATGGAGATAGTGGTAGCATTTCTAATGTCTGCAATTTTAACTTGTAGCATCCAACACCTTCTCAATGGGAGGGTTAATTATTGGCCATCCAACTTTGGGGGATCATATGGAGATAACAATGACTAATGGATTCTGAATCCAAAGCAACACTTTGAGTGCTTACAGGATAACTAGTACAATCACTGAGGTTTTGATCAAGTCAGTTTTTCTATCTATCATGGGGCAGTAGAATTCTGTTCTTGGTTCAGGTGGGAGTACTGTAGATTATACTAACGGAGTGGTAGAAAGATGGAAAGTCTTTTTTTTTGTGTGGACCACCACAAGAGTCTAAGCCAAGCCAGTTCTGGATGTAAATTGCAGCCAGGGTTAGTGCTATGTCCTTCCTTCATACACTTCCATCATAACCAATGCCTCCCTTTTAACTCAAGCAGGAAAAGATACTTCTTCCCACCCCACACGCTGATGTATCCACAATCCTGAATGATCTACTCACAGTC